GGCCGGTGGCTAATCCCTGCCCCTCTAATGAGCTGACAGCACGAGGAACTGGGGAAGGAGCAGTAGCAAAGGGCGGTGGCACAACGGCCCAGCCTGGGGCACGCCAACCAGACAGCAACACGAAAACGACCAAAGCGGGCAGACTGGGGGGGCGGGAACGGGATGACAGGATTAGCTTGACTGAACGGATGATGCAGGTGGAAATTACTTCGGCAACCGTACCATAAATACCAAACGGAGGGACAGACAAATGGGCATGTGATTTGTTGCTGATGAAAGGAAGCTGCTATATTTGAGAAGAGGGAAAAGGGACTGTAAGGGGAAGCGAATCACAAAACTGGGGCTGTTTGGGGGTCCCTGTTGAAAAGCCCTCTACCTGATCGCCACAGTGTGAAGCAGAGCAATAACTGCACTGGTCCTCTGAACAACCGGTGACAGCCCACACCAACTGAGGTGCTTTCCCCAGTGCTGTGTGATAGCAGATATCCTGGCGGAACAGCTGTCTCATGCCTGCACCAAGGCCCTACAGGGGAGGAGGTGACCGTTATCAAAGGACATACCTTTCAGAACGGGAAACAGAAAAAGGTAGCCCCAAGGGGAAGAGGTTAGTTGGGCTTTGAGCAGCTCCTAAGTCATTTTCTCCTGGTAAAAACTGCCACCTGGCCTACAGAGACCAAGACTCCTGCTCCTGCCGCATCCCAGCTGTGGCTGCTGGACCAGCACTCTGACATTTCCGGGCTCATCTGTGGCTTTTAGCAGAGAACAGGGGGGCACACAGACTGCCCTCACGTGAGGAAGTCTGATATCCAAAGGACTTCCCATGCACCACCCAAGCTGTCCCACAGCACCTGGACTGGGCAGAGCCAAGCTGCTCATCCAGGACCATTTCTGCACTGTAAGAAAACAGGCAGAGCGAGCAGTCAAGCACACGCCACGCGTCCCCAAGCGCCTCGGCAAAGCCTTGCTCTGCACCGGCTGCCAGGATGCCATTTTTCAAGCACACAGAGTTCAGCTGTAGCACACAACCACTGTGATGTGCCACAGCTGCCAGAAAGGAGATGAGGTGAAGCACGGTGCAGCAGCCCAAGTGAGATGACAGGTCTGGTCCACACCACCAAGCCAGAAAAGAAAGGACTGTCTGTCCTGATGAGCAGAGACTACGGGCCTTCCCCACTTGCACGTACTTCTGCATCACACGGCAGGGTGCATAAATAAAGCAAGCCACACGTAGGAGAGTTCTTCCCATCTTGCACACTTAACGTCTTACTCCCGAGTCAGCTGTTATGAGAGATGATGTCACTGCTGAAGCAAGAAATAGAAATATCCTTTCCTCCCAGCCAAGAGGGGCACAGGGCTGCGCAGGGACCACTGGTCGGGCACAGACGCTGGAGCATTTTCTTTCCTCACCATCATATTGTTTACATCTTGGAGCCTCACAGTGGAGTCACGAGCAAGGATTACAAGCAGGTGGCCTGGGCCTCCTGCCAAGCCATGCCCAGAGCTCTTCATGGAGCAGGTGGGCAGAGCTGCTCTTGGGACGAGTGCATGGACCCACCTTGGACACAGACACAAGCAGGGGACCAGCCAGCAGCCAGCCGTGAGCAGCAGATGCCTGCTGCTGGTGCCTTGTCCCAGGCAGGAACCGCCTCAGCCTCCCTGATTCCCAAAGCCCCTTAGGCTTTTTCCTTTCTGCAGCAAAACCCCAGCGGGGAAGAGGCCCCAGCACAGGAGAACAGCCACAGATTGGTCCTGGCCTCAGCTGTGCTGTACCGTTACAGGACGGAGGCTTCTCCGCTGCAGCTCGGGCATCAGACACTAATGCCCCGTCAGGACTCACCACCAGCTCACCAGTTGGGGACCTGAACCTCATCCTCCAGCCTTCCCCACTGGTTTGTGGCTCCCTGAGTTCGAGCTGGGTCTGCAGAAGTTGGTACGTCACAGTGTTGCTTGTCAGTCGCTCTTTTGCTGCTGTCTCTGTCAACAGGTTGGCAAAGCTGCAGAAGTCATCGGTGGCCTCATCCAGCCTCGAGGGCAGCCAGCGCCAGTGCCTGCTCTGGCCCTGCACAGAAGGGGCACAAAATCCCTCAAAACCACTACCAGCACCAAAAGGACAACCTGTTTTTCCCCTGCACAGGTTTCTGCCCAAGGCTGGCCACACAGCATCACAGCCAAAGCCCAGCTCAGAGCACACCGCAGGGATCGCAGCTTGTGCCGCTAAAGCCAACAGAATCAGACTGGGCCATCCCAGCCCTTCCAAGGGCAGCTGGCAGCAGGGGGAGATCGGCAGAGGGATCAGGCAGGGGAAGGAGAGGCTGTGACTGATCAGCAGTCCCTGAGCTGCAGCAGAGCTGAAGCCCAGCCCTGCCCAGCCTTACACCCAGACAAGACCCACAGGTTTTCAGGCCATCACGTTTTGTGCCCTGATCAGCACAAACAGACATCTACATATCCCTCAGTCCATGGCATGTGGGCATCCCAGCCACCGCCGAACCTGGCACGCGCTTTTCTTTGCGGTTTCCCAGAGCTCAGCGGGCTCTGGCACGGACATGAAGGGGCCGCCGTGTAAGTACTGCTCAGTCGGCCACCCC